ACCGAATCACGCCTTTTGTCGCTGGTTATTATCAGATCGATTCCTGTCTCGTGTGTTTTTCTCCCTCAATGGCGGTTGACGTTAATAAATTCCCGGATGATATTTTGATGTGATTTGCCATTATTCTCGACTCGAAAATTATTGATTATTGTTTTGTTTTTTTGTTTGTTTTTGTTTTTGTTTGAACATTTTCTATAATGTTTTTTTGTTTTTGTTTGAACATTTTCTATAAAAAATGAATTCTTTTTTTTGTTCTCTTTGTTTGTATAATTTGTAGCGGTTCAATGGTAAGATAAATTATTATTTTTTTAGAAAATTGGAAGAAATGGTAATGATAAAAAGTGTCTGAAAGAATTATTTGAATTTTGAGGATAATTTGGTGTGATTTTCCTGTATTATTCTCGACGCGAAAGTTATTGTATTTTTGGGGTCATTTTTCTTTTTGTCTTCGTTGTATCTTTTTGAAAGAGGGATGTGTTTTCTTTGTATAATTTGTTTGTAGTTTGTTGTCGCCTTCTTTGTATAAATTGGTAGCGGGCACAACGGTAGAAAAATGAAGCTTAGATAGGAAATGAAAGAAATTGTAATGAAAATGTCTAAAGATTTATTTGAATGTGAATAATCTAATGATTTAATTGCATGTGAATAATCAGTAAAAAGAAATAATTAAGGAAGACCTCGAGCCCAAACTCACCCAAACTCACCCCCCCCCCTTCTCTCTCTCCCACAGTGCAGTCGTTGCGAAGCCATTGTGATTCCTCCCGACCAGAGACTGAGTTTCTTCAGTGACTACAGCCGGACTCACGCCTGCCCCTCCTGCGGCCACGTCGACCACCACTTCGTGAAGCCCCTGACGTCCTTCGTGAGGGACGACAGGCAGGCGTGGTAGTGGCTGGCGTCCTCGGGTCCCCCCCCCCACACCCTCACCCCCGCCCAGCGCTTCAGGCCCGGTGGGTGACGCGGCGGCGCTTGCTGCTGTTGGCTCGCTATTTCTTCTTCATTTTCATCTTTATTTGTTTGTTTATTAATTGCTTGAGTTTTTGACACGATCGGGTACTATGGTAGGATCTTCTCTCTTTTATAGGTCAGTGGTTTTACATTTTTTTTTCTCTTTTTTTTTCTTTTTTTGCAACAGGTAACTGCTTAGATAATGATCTTATGACAATGTTTCAGTAATTTATTTTCATAGTTTTTTTATCATCTTTCGCTTACTAGCAAATATTTCGAATATTATAGTATATATGCATTAATTTAGAGATAAATCAGTAGGGAATGGATTCAGTTTCCTAGTAATTTTCTCAGAGCCCAGTATGATAATATCAACTAGAATCATGATGAATATTCCTTTTCTATCTTTTTCACAGGGGAATATACCCCCTTCCTTATCCCTTTTATTGCAGAATATATTATTATTATTATTTTATTTCTCCTCTCCCAACAGGACCAGCCTTGGCCGGGGTCTACGTGCCCATTACACTCATATAACACATACATCCCTTTGTTTGGCGTTGTCACCTTCAGAAAAGAGTGTGTATAGTGAACTTACTTTGTCTTTTGGAAATGAAGCAAGGACAGGACCGAACAAATAGCCAAAGTGAAAATGGACCGAGAAGGAAAAGGAAGTGAAAAGAAACAGAGAATGCGAGCGAGAGAGAGAGAAAGAAAAACAAGGAAGCATGGTATTTTTTGAAAAAGTAATCATAAATATAACGAGAAAGGAAAACGTTAAGACATGGGCTGACTGGAAAGGGTGTGAGTGTAGTCAGTCATTTTTCTCCCCCCCCCCCCAGCCAAAACCAACCCACCACACACATACATTGGTTCTTTGCTAGGTTGTTCAGAAAAATGAAATTCGTGTGTGTGTGTACTTCTGCAAGAGATGGAAGAAGGAAGATTTCATTGCCTTTGTCGCGAGTTCGAAGATTTATGCAGAGAAGAGAGAGGAAGATCAAGAAGCTGGCTTTGATAGGGTTTTAGTCTCTTAAAACATTCAGATGATGGAAGTGTGAAGACCCTTTCTGTCTGTTACACAAAAGGAGGCAGAGGATGGCATTGATGTGGTCGGTGAGGAAGAAGGAAGATGGAGGGCGGAAGGAGGCGAAAGAGGAGAAGGAGGAGAAGAAAAGAGAGGAGAAGTGAGTGAGAGAGAGAGAGAGAAAGTCTAGAAGGAAAAGATTTTTTAAAAGTGCGTGTGGGAGGTGTGGAGTCTCCCTCAGGAGGCTCATTTTACGCTGAAAAATATCCAAAGGACCGTGTTATGGAAGTCTTTTTTTGCGGAAAATAAATGACTTGAGAAGGACAGTGAGGTGTTGGCGAACGCAGCGGCACTTCTTCAGGTGTTGCTTGAATGGACGACTTGATGCTGCCGAAGAAGGGAGAAGGAGAGAGAGGGAGAGGAAAAGGAAAAAAAGGTGTAGATAAAAACATTTTATCTCCTGATGTGTCTTGTGTTTGGAACTAATGATGCTTTTGAAGTGTTGTTTGTTTTTATACAGAAAAAAGGAAGAAATCTTACGAAAACTGAAAAAGTCTGCTGCACAACACCATGGTTTGATACCATACCTGCCAAGGAGAGTGTCCGAGAATCAAATTCTGGGCATGTTTCTAGTGTGAATGGCTCGGAAAGAGATAGATGTAAAAAATGTACTTATGTGGACAATTGGTGTGTTTTTATACGAGTACATATTTTTTTTTTAAGAAGCCCAGATTTTAAGGTGTCTGCCGGGGAAAATTTAAAAAGTAGACAGACTCAAACAAAAACTTTAAAAAACTACAAAAAACTACAAAAAAAATATTACAGGAACCCATATGGAACCGGGGGATACTTTGTCTTTGTAATGTTTAATTAGTCCACCGAAAGACGTGGACGGATGTAAATAATGATAGAGAATAGTCGTATGCTAATTGTGTGATCTCCTATGCTGTATACAACTTTATTCCATAAGTCCGATTTTAATGTTTCATCGTAGAGATAGTCCATAAAAAATCCTTGCTGATATAGCGCCCGAGACAAACAAACAAACAAAAGAGATGAACTTACAACCCCGTTTTATGAAATTTGCAACGTGGAAAGAAAAAAAAAACAAGATAAAACAGACAAACATGATTTGGAAGATGATTTCAACAACAATGACGATGACAGTGTGGATGAGAAAAGATTGAAAAAGAAAATGGAGGTGAGTTAAAAAGACGATGGAGAGTAAAAAGAAGAAATGTCGAAGGAATAAGTGTTAACAGCGACGAAAGGAGGAAGAGGAGGTCGTGGTGATGATGCGAGGGCGTGGACGAGGAGGTGATGAAGTGAAGAAGTGGAGGAGATATCGGGAAGGAGAGGAAGAGGAGGTCGTGGCGATGAAATAGGACGTGGAGGTAAATATGAAGACATCGAAGAAAGGAAGAGAAGTGGGACAGAAAAAGGAAAAAGAAAATTCAAACGTTTAGGAAAAAATAATTGGCGGTTAATTCCATCTTGTAAAATTGGCCAAAAAACGACAAAAACAACAACATAGAAAGGAGAACAACAACGATGAGAGGGGAGATAGAAGAGCGGATGGTGAATGAAGAGAAAAAAGAGAGAGAAGGAGAACGAAGAAGACAACAACAAGAAGTAAGATATTGCCCACAGACAGAACACGGAAGAGGAGGAAGAGAAGAAAAAAAACACGAAACGAAATCAAGAATAACAGCAAGAGAGAGAGAGAGAAACGGAAGAAAGAGATAAAACAGAGAAACCGGAAACCAACCCCCCCCCCCCTCAAACCACAAAACCACTCGAACCCCACGTCCAGAACGGCAAAGGTGGGAAAGGGAGAAGAGAGAGAAAGTGGCGAATAACGGAAGAGATAGAGAGAAGAAAAGCGAACATCAAAAGATGGAAGAGAAAGAGAAGAAAGAGAGAAAGGAATATCGGAAAGTAGTCGTGTTAACGAAGACGGGAATCCATCCGGTAAAGAAGAAAAGAAGAGAGAAAAAAGAAAAAGGTAAAAACTCGAAGCGAAGAAGAAAGAAGAAAAGAAGCCAAGATAGAATAAAAAAAATAACGAAGACCCAAGATCCGAAGAAGGAAAAGGAGAAACAGAAGACGCAAGAGAAGGACGAAGAAAGAAAGGACCTGGTTTTCATCACGACCTTCCCCCCCACCCACCCCACCCTCAATCCCCACCCCACCCCCACCTGCCCCACCACCCCACAATCAACCTCATCGAGCGACAGGTGAAGGCAGTGAACCTCCTCCTTCACACACGCGGGGAAAGGAAGAGAGGAACCTTAATGCCTGTAAGTTAGTTCAATGTGCACTCTTTTCTATTTTCTTTGTAAAATTTAGCCCCAGGTGGAAATTGAAAATAACAGCAGCAGCAACCATTTAAAAAAAAATTCCCACCCACCTAAAAAAATATGGAATTATATATATATATAAACAATTATATTATTAATGATTACTGATGCTTCCACTTTTCAAGGTGGTGTATTTCCTTTTTTTTTTTTTTTTTTTGCTTACGATGTAGGGATGATCATGGTTTCAAGATGATGATGAGACATAGGAAAACAACTTTTTAAATATCTCCGTATTGAATGTATAAGGTACATTTATATATGTAGCTTCAATTTGTACTGTGAGAATGATTCTGATCTTTGCCCCTTTCCGTCCGCTAGCCAGTGTGACGTAGTGACAGAAACATTTTTAAAAGGGCAAAAACTGAAGTAATTATCAACTTTTCAAAATTTTAATGCTACGAAAGAAACAAAATATTTAGAATGATTTTTTTTTTCATTGGCATTGTCGATCTAGATTATGATCTTTGACAGACAGAACTCATTAGAAGATTATCTTGTTTCTTTTTTAATAATGTCAGGTATATGAAGATAACTGTTGAATTTTCAAACTAAATAAGAGATCAAACACCCTTATTAATTTTCTCAGTCGGATAACCGTTTTAGAAAATACGAAACAGATGCCAGGGCGAAAGGGCAAGTGTCAGAAACATTCACACTTTTTGCTTCCGTTGTGCAAGGAATCTGAGATTAGGCTTAGGAAGTCAAGGAAAAGCAAATTAAGAGTCTTAAATATTTTTCCTGAAAAAGTCACAAGTCAAAACTGTTTTGGAGGAAAAAGGTAAACATTTAAAAATGTCAGATCAGATTCTTTACAATATAATGTTGGGAGAAAGATTGCGGTAGCTTCGGCAGAGAAATGTGGAAGATGTCATGTCGTCTAAACTTTTGACGTTTTTTAAATGGAAGAAATACGTTTTTAAAATCATTATTAAGAAAACTCGCGTCTTTGGAACAAGCAAGATTACAGCTATCGAATTGAGGAAAATGGAAGGAAAAGTTTCTTTAGAAGAAAAGTTGAAGGTTTTTTTTCGAAGTAGGTCGATACATAATTCCCGATTGTGAAGTTGAAGATCAAATCCATTTTATAGCAAGTAACTACCAATCAGAAGAGAACTGACTCCACGACGTCTGTATTTTTTTTTTTTTTTTCCTTTTTTGAAATTTTCAACCAAAAACCTGAATTTGCTGAGTGTGTGTATGCTTTGAGATGACTGATCATTGTGAACTCATACCATCACACCTCATTTCGAACCTTCACAATTTTTCCTAAAATCTCATTTCGTTGTTCATTAGAGAGTGTGAAAGGTTTAAAGAAAATCGAGTCACCATTCAAATCGGAAAATACAGTTAGTTCAATCAAAAAGAAAGTGAAAAAACAAACAAACAGATTGACCACAGATGACATCAGCGACCTGCCAACCCCACCCCTTACCTTGACCCCCCATCCCATACTAGAGCTATGACCTGACTTCTTCGGCTTGACCTCAGCTATATTATGTGCATTGTTAGGCTATAAGCTATATGGGACCTGATATTTTGACCAATACTACCATCGACTCTGCGGTATGCATTGGGCACGTGTTGGACCTTATCATAGGTGGATCTGTAAACGACTTGAGACGGATTTCGGATCTGGAAACGTACGTTTTAAGACGAATTTTGGATCTGCAAACGTTTTAAAGCGAACTTCGGATCTGCAAACGTTTTAAGACAAGTTTCGGATCTGTAAACGTTTTAAGACGAATTTCTCTGGATTTAGGAATCGATGGGTAACTTTTTTTCTTCGTTTGGTAACCTTTGCTCATGGATTGTGTGGCGAGATTGAAATAATACATGTTTAAAGTTGTACCTTTCAAATATACAATATTAAAATATTGATGGATAAAATCTTGAATATTTAGTACATCGTTTTCCGCAATTAAAACAATATCAAAATTCAAGAGTCGACAGTACATCACAGCGACACATAAGTATTTCTGGTCGTCTTTGTTGACACAGAAGCTTGACCGCGCCATGACCAAAGGTTTGACAACGCCAGCGACAGAAGTGGGCTTCATTCAAATGGCCTCCGATTCAGGAAAGAAATTAGCCAGAATTTTTTTTATTCTGTAGCTTTATACCGTGTTGATGGGAGAATCAAAGGACACTCTTTTGGAAAAGAGAAGTGAAATGTAAATGAATCGTAATTTTATCTTTATTATTATTATTATTAACTGTGTGTATATTCAGCGTTTTGAAAGGCTAGAATCACCCGGAAGAAGGATGAGACTAGAGAAAGGGGAAGCAAATAGGACGGTCTTGAGAGCCAATGGAACGTCAGCTTAATTTGATTCGTATTTTAAATCATTCCGGAAAATGTTGACTAGACAAAGATAGATTTTCATATAGAGCGAAAACATTCGGCTTTTTTTAAGGATCTAATTCTCAAGAACACTTCGGAGGTAAGGGTTGAAAGAAAACCCTTTTTTTTTTCTTTTTTTCTTTGGTACCTTCGGGAACCAAGAGTCGATACCAGACCAGACCGTAAGACAGACCCTCCTAAATCTTTTGCTTCCTCTCTTTCTAAGACCATGTACACTCACCTACAGTATTTTTTGCCTCACGGAGTATAAGAACGGGGCTTGGATTTCAAACCTGGGAGAATTCTCGAGCGACTGGGAGGAAAAGGAGGACGAGGATGGGGAGAGTGTTCAGTCGAGGACTTCTTAAGTACCCATGAGGAGGACTTTCCGTTTATGCTCCCCCTTCCCCCACATGCAAATAAATAAGTAAAAGGGATTGTGAAATAAAGGTAAATCTTGGTTATTTTAATTCATATGTCTATTCCATCCGACCTGCCCCTCCCACTCCCTTTCGTAACCAGATTTCTCCCACAAGCTTCATGGTTTTCAAGAATAGAATTTGAATCAACAACCACCACCACAACAAGCTACATCTTTGGCTCAAATTTCTTGATTGTATATAGTAGACTTGTAGGCCTATTCGTAAGTTAGGATCAAGGTATAAGGAACTCAATAGTAATAAAGGTTGAAATACAGTGCATCATGTTTTGTTCGCTTGCTACTTTTGATCAGTTAGTGGAATGGAACCCAATTTTCTTCGAATTAGAATGTGCCTTGACATGGATTAAAAAAATTAAAAACCAAATAAAAAAATGAATCGATAGATATGTGTTGCTTCTTATTTCAAATTGGCATGATTTGTAATTATTATGATTATGGGAAATAAATTTACTTTTGTACCCTAATTGGCTCTCGTCTTTTTTCAAATTCCATTTTCTCTCAGTTTATGATGACTGGCCAGGTCTGTCTAATTGATTGACCTGGCTCGCCTTCTTATCCAAAAAACAACAATAAAGAAAAAAACTGAAACACAAAACACACAAAATCAGACATGAAATTCTCTCTTTTTAGAAGGAATAATAATAATAACAGAAGAAATTGATTTCACAGAATCATAGACTTGAATGTTGGTTGAACAGCTTCACACAAGTATGAGATGGATTCAGAGATGTGAAAGTTGACTGAAAAGATTGATACATTGACTTCAAAGTTGGTTTAACACGGATTCCTAGACTTGACTCGTGTATGCAGTAATCACGACTTAATAACCAAATTCTCAAATGACAATGCAATCCTATTTAAAGAAAAAGAACCAGTGTTCTCTTACTTGGCAAGAACATGAGTAAGTTGGTGGACTCTGAGAGAGACAAAATTTCTTCAGGTGGTAGTAAAGGTGTAATGAGATGAAAAAAAAAAAAAAAAAATAGATCATTTTGGAATCAAAAAGAGAGAAAGAAAGAAAGGAAAAAAAAAGAAAGTTAATAAAGATCTGATAATCAAGAACTGCAATCTTCCATGTTGATGAACGAGCCCAGAGAGGTTCTTTCTACACACGGAAGATTATAAAAAAACAAATCCAAAAAGAAAAGAAAACTAAACAGACCAAAAAAAATAATAAAAGCAAAATATAAAATGAAAACCAATCCTCATTACCCTCACCCAAAATTGTACATACTTATTCTCCTCCTTCCACCAACAAACTCCTGTTGCATCTTGCACAAGCCATGCCAGGAACGGAACGAAGGCCCGCTGTTCGTGGGCGTGCACTTTTCCAGGACATTAAACCCCGAGACACTGGCACGGGCGCACTCTCGGCTGCGGCAGTACAAAGGGGGCTGTGGGCGAAGGCGGTGTCGCTCCGGCTTGGCAACTGTGGGTTCTTCACGTCTCTTTGTATATGTGTATGTATATGTACGTGTGTATGGTTGTAGACGTATGCACATTGGTTTCTGTTTATATACGTGCATCACTATGTATATGCATTTTTATGAACACGCACATGTTGTACATATGTATTGATATGTATGTATTATTTTCTTTGCTCATTTTTTTCTTCCCCCTCTTTGACGTGTTTATCTCCTCCACGAATCATTACGTACTTACATATTCTCTTTCATTTACTGTTTGCCACTTTCTCTTATCTCTTCTTCCTACCGCTCTGTGTGTGTGTTATTCACATTTGCCAATTCCTTCGTTTTCTATCCCTTCCTTGACAAATTTTGTTAACAGAGTGATTTCCAATCCATTCATTTCTTTCCCCATTTCCTCACTTCTAAGCTCTTCAA